AGACCTAGAGCAGAGGACAAGGTATTATAGAAGCAAGATTAATATTGTATTGGTGAGTTGTTTGTATAGCACATGCTTACCTGGAAGTAAGTTCAAAGAGATTTACTCCCAAGTAAATACGGCGCAAGGATGCAACCTGTGTCCATCAGAGAGCTAGCTAAGAGATCATAAGTAGCAGTGCTAGTGCTGTTCCACTAGCAGAGGGTAACCTGGTGGTGGAATGACACACCTCCAGAAGTGTTCAACACACTCATGGCTGGGCACTTCCACTGGTGTAAGATGTTCTGCTGCCAGTGTTCTGCTGGGGGAAATGCTCTGGCGTGGCAGGGAAGGGCTGCTGGATATGGACACGCTCCCTCCAATGCCTATTCATTTCCTCAGAATGGGCACAGATATCGCTCAGCTCTACACCAGACCTGGGGCTGGGCACTGTAATCAAAAGGAGGGAAGAGGAAAAGCCTGGGAAGGGGGCCTCTTGCCTGCCCACAGTGCAACAGCTGGGCAGAGGATGTGGCAGTTGCTCTACCAGCCATTTCTCCCTTCCCACAACTACTTAGTAGTCATATTTGGTAGTTTTCAATTTAGATTTCTGCCTTCCCTTCTAAGGTAGATTTCTACCAGTTTTACAGATAGAAATCAGCACAGACACACAGAGAAAGAATTGCCCCGAAGCCACACTGTTCATCCTCAGGCAAGCTAATTAATATAGAAACACTATCCTGTGTGTGTTTACTCAGGAGTAAGTCGCACTGAATTCAGAGGGGATAAATCCCAAGTAAAGGGGCACAGGATTTCTGCATAAAACAATTAAAATTCCATACTAAACTAAATAAAGAAAAATTTTAATTCTAAATACCTTCATTTCATGGAAGATTTTAGTCTCAGAATCTTATTTTCTGTAAAATTGGATGGTAATTATTTACAGCTGGATGTTTTAAAAATTACAGAAGTCTCAAATATAAAAGTGAAGTGGGGAATGAATTGTTTAATGAAAACTTCTAATGTGTCTACAAATATAACACTGTCCTTGGTTTTACTGTCAGGTCATAGCTTGCTGCAATTTTGTAGTACTGTATCATTGTCTTGTGATGTGGTAATGGCATCACTCTGAAATAAGCTGCAGCATTGTTTGCATTCTTTGCTTCAAATATAAAAATACTATAAAGTTCAAGAGACTTAATTGGTAATCAAAATCAGGAAGGGGATTTAATTTGGCAGAGTTGGCAGTGTAACTCCTTACATTCTATGGAATATGTCAGAGGCAGAAATCAAGTCTTTGTCTTGTTTCATAATGTGCCCTGATGATGCGCTGTAGAAATTAATAAGCAATTAATTATATTCCATAATTAATATTGTATAATTTCCAGTTTGGATTGGTTCCTGTTCCCACTGAATCTTGCTATTCATTTTAACAGTGACTCATTTGAAAGTCTTTAGTAAGTTTTAAAATATTGAAAATGTCAGCATTTCTGAAGATGAGGAAAGGGAAGGTTTAATGATAAATGAAGGCCAAAGAATCTACTTAAGTGGCACACTGAATTTTAGGGCCATGGCTTATTTAAAGCAGGAATGAGCAACATTGTTTTTACCACCACCAGCACCATCATCTATTTAATTTCTGTCCCACCCAACAGCTGAAGCTGTCTGGCAGTTTACAACATGACAACCCAGTTTGCAAGGCATATTGGGTTGGGGCCCACGCACAAACATTTCTGCACACATTGTTTAGGAAAACACACTTGTGCCCCTCTCAACCTTACATATGCACACATTAAGACACTCCGCACTCCCTGCCACATCTTGGCATGCAGGGGTGGGGAGGTACAAACCACCCCGTCTGTGCACTGAGACTACTTTGCACCTTCTCTCTGATCTCAGTCAGTCCAGTGGAGGGGGAGGAAAATGATTAAAATGTGAAAGATTGTGCAAGGGCATGGCTCTCCCTGTGCATTTCTTCCCCTTTTAAATTATTCTCAAGAGAATCCAGCACACAGCGGTTGGGCAGACTGTCAGGAATGTAGTTGTATTGGGGCAAACCATGTGCCTTAATGTGCCTCAAGTGCTTCCTTCTCCATTTAGACTGTACACATGAGAACCCATCCAACAACTGTTTAGTGAGTGTCAGGAGGAGAGCAAAAGCGCTGGGGAAGACCAGCAGGGTGTTCCCCACATACTGATTGGGTTCAGACAACAGGATACCCTACACTCATGGGCTGAGTATATGTTGAATGTGCATTGTTGTTGAAACAGGGGTTGTTTGAAGTTGTGCAAACAAGTCATAGCTTGTTAAGCATAAAAGGAACCCATAATTTATTGTTGGGTTGTGAACTGTGGGTAGTTCCGCATAGTTTTTTTACTCAGCTGGGTTCAGACAACACAGTAGCCCATGTTTCAGCAATGACCTACAGTTCAGTGACAACCTTGGAGTGTGGGTTATCGTATTGTCTGAACCATGTCACTATCTTCCCCAGCACACTTGCAGAGCAGTGTGTTTATGAACTTGGTGTCAAAAGAGGCAACAGCTGTAGTGGGGCCCTAGAACACTTCTGAGGGCCGTATGTGGCCTGTGTGTTGTGGGTTGCCCATGTGTAGCCAAATGGTGTGAGTTCTTGATTTCGCTCCATGAGGGAAAAAGAAAGTTGCTCATATTTGATTTAGTCCAATATGACACATAACTAGGGTAGATCCAGTGCAGTCCACCCAGTTTCCTTGGGTGGCTTTACCAAATGTTAATCAGGATGTGTGGAAAAAATTGTTCCGTGTCTTTCTAAGGACCAAATTTCATTGTTATTATGATTCTATTGCCTTTACATTTCCCTTTTTTCCTCTTGCAAGGAAGCCAATGTGGCATACAAGGCTCTTCTCCTTTCCATTTTATTCTCCCAGCAGCAGCCCTGTGAGGTGAGGTAGGCTGAGAGTCAGCAGTTGACCAGAGTCACCCAGTGAGCTTCACAGCCAAGTGGGGACTGCACCCAGACCGCATGAATTGCAGCCCAACACTCTTAACCACTGCCCCTCATGGAAGACCCCTGACAGGACCTTCCAGTGCTGAAGGTCTAAAAGCGCCCGTGAGTGGGAGAGGAAAGTTTCAAGGTAGTGCCCCCACCCACATGCTCCATTTTTCCAGTCAAAAGTCACATAGCTGAAGGTACTTGCGAAGGTGAAAAGACAGCAGCCCTATTGTACCTGCTTTCCCTTCAGCTAAGCTATCAGCCCCATTTGAGGATGGGGAGGAGTGATTTCAGTTGGAAGAGGGAAGAAAGCGATAAACACACCCTGCAACGTGCTTCTGTCAAGTTTGTGGTGTGGGACCTGGAGCTGCCATTAAGAAGAAAGCACAGAAACTTGGGGAAATCCAGTTGCAGATCTCTTGTATGTCCTCTAGTTTGTCCCCTAGAAAAATATTTTCAAGCAAGAAATAGTGATGGGGGGATGAATATATGTGTGAGAGTGTGTATAAGCAATATTTTTGATTCTGTATGCCAAATATAAATCTACATATTTGTATCTAGCATTCCTCCTTAGTCAAGGAACTTCATCATTGGGAAGCCCCAAATTATAGTAAACCATACTACAATTTAAATAGAAATGTAATGCATCTCACCATAGTGGAGAAGGCTGTACACAGTCTTCTTGTATGCCTGCCTATTCATGCTGCTGCCCATGGTCATCTTCAAGGCCCCAAGCTCCCCTCTTAGGGTTCTTTCTCTTCCATTTGTACCAGGATTGAGTAGCCCTTCAGACAGAGAATGCCTTCAAATAGATGATTATCCTCTGACAGCTCTTCAGTTAAAAGTCTGTCCTCTGGAAGTAGGACACATGGCTAGTCTAGTAGCCACCTGCAGCTAATGCAAATTTGAAAACCTGTTTCCTCATTAGGGGACAACATCTTCCCTCAATATGACTTTAAAAGAAGGGCACAGCCACGCTTTGTTTCAATAGAAGATAATATGATTTGCTCTTCTTCTTTTTTAAGATGAAAGCAATAAAAAGCATTTGATAATGTAACAGGCGACTCTCATTATGACTCTTTATTGACAAGTTGATTATTAGAAAGCCAGTGTAATAATGTTTCACAGACACTGCAGAACCTTTTTACTAAAACAATCTTCAGACAAAACCTTTTGATTTCACGCCTCCCTTCCCTCTGCAGACAAGTAATCTAGTAATTGAAAGATAATCTTCTAAAATAAATTAAGAGCAGGATAATTTTTAATGCAAAACTTCAGTGACCAGAATGAGAGGGAGGGAAGGAAGGAGGGAGTGACATACAATGAAAGGCACTGTAGAAGCACTTTGTAGCTTATGCAAGCCAGTCTCAGACAGGTTTTCATTCCACACTTAGAAAATGGTGCCCAGCTCAGACTTTTCATGTACAGAAAAGCAGACTAAAATATTAGTAAGGTACAAATGAACCTGAAGGTCTTCAGAAACTAGAGCTCCATTCAAGCAATCCCCCCTCCCTTTATAATGAGAATGGTTGGAGTAGGCAGACATGGGATGGGAATATGCTAAAACAACTGTAAATCCTTGCACTCAAACAACCCCAATTCTAGGCCAGGAGAGATAGAATTCCATTACTTCTGTGCATCTTTTTTTTTTTTTTGTTTAGTCGCAAAGTTGTGACCCCATGGGCAACATTCCTCCAGGCTCTGTGCATCACAAATTTTTACAAATTTCCTCTCATTTTGCATAACTGCCTCATGTAGACTCATGCAACAAAAACTAACAAAGGGACTTGTGGTACCTTGAACATTAGCACTTCATGTCTGCTAAGAAGTAAAGCAAACTGAGTTCAATAAGAGTTGCTCTAGACGTGACTGTGTATAGAACTGCAGCCTAAGGAATCTGTTGTGGCTTGGACAGCTATTGTTCTTAGTGCGATGCTAGAAGTGTAGTCTGTGAAACACGCTCTTTGTTACCAGCGATGTTGAATGCATGGTGTGATTTACTCCTCATTTATACGCAATTCCTCCTGTTTATATGCTACCTCCCCCCAGTGTGTACAAAAGGTCAGGTAGTCACTGGACAGTACCGCATGCTTGCCAAGCATGGAGGATATGTGTGGCTGGAAACTCAAGGAACAGTCATCTACAACACACGCAACCTGCAGCCTCAGTGCATCATTTGTGTCAACTATGTTCTGAGGTAAGACAGCTGGCATCCTGCAAAGGGCTTTTCGTTGGGGACTACTGTCATCTTGCATCTTTGCCAACTCGCTTCCTTTGGGTCCATTTCAGCTTGTTCACTTCCTTCTTGAAGCCCTGAAATACAGTTTCTTCAGTTTTGGGGTAGGAAATAGGCAGCCCACCCAGCCTTTATTCTGGGCTTCACTTTTTCCCTGCTGGTGTCATGATTGAGGTGGCGGTGGCCAGACTGAACAAGCAGAATTGTGCTTTCAGAAATACAGCTCTTTTGGTGAACAAGGCATGTGTACCATGTCTTGTTTCATTGCAATATTGCTATTGTTTTGGCCAACAACTTGGTGGCAGATTCAGTGGCAAACTCAGCATCAGTGTTCAGTCCCCAGCAGGCTGCAGGGGGGCAGGAAGGTCCTGACCCCTAGGATTTACCCACCCCTCATCAAAATGCACCCCCCTTAAGTCAGGGGTGGGGAGTGTATGGTCCTCCAAGGTTGCTGGACTCTGATTCCCAGCAGTCCCAGCCAGTATGGGTAAAGGTCAATTTTGATGGGAGTCGTAGTCCAACAATATCTGGAGGGCCACAGGTCTCCAGCTCCTGGTTTAGCCTTTCATGTATCATGTTTTGCTCTCAGCAGGATGTAACTCAGTTCCATGTGGCCCTGTGATGCTTAGTATAATATTACAGTGGAAATAATTAAATCCACCTGTAGTCATGAGTGATCCCATTGATTCAGAGTGATTCCTTTATTATGGTTTTACACTCTCGTTCTGTTTATACAGCCAACGAAACAGCTAAGACAGAATAATGATTTAAATTCAGTGCATCTCTTATTCTAAGGGGAGTTGTGGTGTTTATGTTGTCACTAGCTGAGCATCCAAAATCCAAAATTAATTTTCCCTTTATGTAATTGCCCATTTTTTCTGGACCCTGCCCTTTGAAATATAAAATATCTAAACTGCCTGATTTATCTTGTCAGTGAAATCGAGAACAACGAGATTGTGTTCTCCATGGATCAGACGGAATCACTGTTTAAGCCTCGCATGATGGCCATGAATTCTGTGTTTGACAATGGCGTCCCCGTGGCAGATAAGAGCGATTTCTTGTTCACCAAGCTGAAAGAAGAACCAGAAGAACTTGCTCAGCTGGCCCCAACACCAGGCGATGCTATTATATCACTTGACTTTGGTCAGTAATGTTTTGGGGGAAGGGGAGGTGACCCTTCTACTTGCTCCGGCACAATAGTTTGCCAGCACTGTTCTATAGATATTTTTCTCATGAACTGTTAAGTTTAAAAAATAACCCCAAGCCTTTCATTATCCCGGACAAGCCCATAGTTTGAGGGAGTGATGCAGTCATTCCTGTTTTGGGAGACCTCAACAGCTTATTTTGGGCATGTCGTGAGTGGAGCTGGCTGAAGCCAGGGGTCAGACTAGATGGCCCAGGAGGTCCCTTCTGACTCGCTCTGTTTCTATGTTTCTATGTTATACAATAAGATCAGGCACAGCTGGCGATACTGGGAGCCGTACTCCAACACATCTGAAGGGCACCATCTGAGGGTTTAGGAAAGTATATTTAGAGGACTGAGAATAAGCAGTGGGGAACTTCAGGCTCATGTTCAGTCCCTCTCCTGTCTCTTCAGTCATGGGAGAAGAGAAGAGAAGAGAACCACGTGCTTTCACTTTAGAACAAACTGCAGTGCCACATTATGTGTGAATTTGAGCAACTGCAGTCTAATCTAAGTGAAGCTCAACAAATTATGCCTTATATCAGAGTGAGCAGTGAGGCACCCATGGGCATCAGTGTAATCTTAGACAATTTTCTTGGATCATCCCCCCTCCCACTTTTTAAATTGAAATTGAAATTTTCTTTTTATTTATATACTGCCCAATAGCCAAAACTCTCTTGCAGTTTACAAAGAATAAAAATCATTAAAAATACATTGTACATAATCTAAAAACACATTTACATACAAACATATGAGGAGACAACATACACTTTTTACTACATATTTTAAAACAATAAATAAGGAAGATCCAGGACCTGATTTAAAATACTTAGGAATTGAAGATGGAAGGCAGCAGTAAAGCTGCAGCTATTTTCTGCAGCATACCCATTTGTGCGGTTGCCCAGAACAGTTTCTCAAATGGCCGGATGTGCTCACCGATGCAAAAAAGTTGCCTACCCCTATCTAAGGTAGTCACCTGAATCAAGCTGCAGTATCACTTGTTAACTTTGCCATTCAGTTTCTCCAAAAACACCTGTATGAACACCCATGCTTATCCCAGATGGGCAACCACATATGAACCAGTGTATTTGTGAACATGTGGCCACCTGAACACACAACCCCATTTGCACTTACTTTTGTAATCCATCACATTCTGTCCGCTTCCAAATCCAGCATCTTGAGCCGCTGGTTCATTTTCAACAATTCACAAACGTCAATCACCTTTGACTCAGTCAGACCACTGAACCTCGAAAGAGCTGGAGTTCATGTGTTTGCCACTGAGCCAGCTGTGCAGTATTCATTTACATAAGACCATGTACGGAAATCAGACATGGCAAACATCCCATACCAGAAAAACGGATATTAACCATCACTTAAGGAACATAGTGATGGGCAAATCAGTCAGTTCTGTTCTCCCACCTTCATTTTTTTTTTAATTTCAATCTTGTTCTCTCTCAGATTCAAAGAAAACTGAAAATTTTGCCAGATTTGTATAACCATGGAAATTAATTCTCATCCCATAGCATCAGTCAGCATCAGCCAAACTTAACAAATACAGATGTCGCCATCATAGAGATGTTCCTGATGAGGAACCTGTCAGAAGAAAGAGGTGGTGACCCTAATTCAACAACACAAACTTGAATGAATAAGCAAGGACTTGAACTCACATTTTTAAGAGCAAGGCCAGCATGGCATAGTAGTCAGATTGTTGGACTGGGACTTGGGAGATCCAGGTTCTAGTTTTCACTTGGCCATGAAGCTTGCAGAACCTAACTCTCATGTAAGCAAACTCACATGGTTGCTGGGAGGATAAAATGGAAAAGAGCGTGTAAGTTGTTTTAGGTTCCTTGTGGGAAAAAGACAGGGTATAATTATAATAAATAGATAACATAAAAACATAAATCATTCAAGGTCCTGGGCCCAAATGGAGAAATCTCTCCTTTTTTTCCTCCCATGTTTGATCTTTTGTTTAAATCTCAAGGCTTTTTATTTCAAATATGGAGAACCAGAGAGGTCCACCTGGCACTGTCATTATATGTTTTTCGGCACCAGGTTAAGACCTTTTTATTTAATCAATATTTTAATATGTTTTAATATTGAATTTTATTATTGTATTTTATTAACTTGCAGCTAGAGTGGGTGGTCAATTTATTTATGCTGTAAGACATCCAGAGACTTAAGTAATTGGATGGAATACAAATTTTATAAATAAATAAATAAAAATAAATAAAAACTTTAGAAATGTTGGTAGACTGTTATCAGAACCACACTAAAACAACTGTCCTGCCCAATCCTAACATAAATGCAAATAGGAGAAAACCCTTTGTTTGCGCAGTGGTGACCCCAAGAGTTACACAAGAATCTTCAATGATTATTGGATTAGGCTGAACACCTTTTTTTACCAGACAAAGACTTAGGTATACTGTGCTCCAGGATTTGATTTCAGGATGTGCATCAGATTTCTTCCCTTCCTCACCTTTAAATTATGTCACGGGTTGCAGGCTTCAAGGATGAATTGACCTTGTTTACCTCCATTTCAGGGACACAAAACTTTGAGGAAATCTCTACCTACAACAAAACTGTGATGACCCCAAACAAGCCGTGGCCTACGGAAGCAAAGAACCAGGTTCCCCAGCCTGAAAAGATGAGTGTGCCATCGTTTACACTGCCCCAGGTTGCCTCTGGTAACAGCACCCCCAGTGCAAGCAGCATCAGCAGCTGTTCCACTGTAAGAAAGGCTTTCGTTGTTGTGCATTCGAGCATGTGTGATTTGTCATGAGTATTAATCAGAGCTTCGGAGTGCCTGTTTTCAAGAGAGCAGATAATTCCAGATTAGCTGTGTTTGTCTTTTACATCCCAAAACATCAAATGCTGGTATCCATTGGGATTTACTTGGTCAGAGCCCATTTCATTCAATACATGAGGTTGGGAGTGATAGGTTTGAGCAAGTATGACCATTTTTCAGAGCCCGGGGAGACAAATCCACTGATTTTGTGGTGGTGCCGAGAGCAGTTGCTGAAATTCCAAAATGTGCCCATGGGCCCAAAAAGGTCAGCCTATTCAGCATTTATAATGGTTCTTATTTACAAAATATACTGCAGGAAATATTAGGTGCTTTCAGCCCCTTGTCTTTACACAAACACTTTAAATGGTTCCAAGGTGACAACTTTGTATCCAAATGGTAGGGTGATATTCACAAGTAATTAATAGGCAAGTAACCATCATCACCTTTTATGCTTAGACAGATTAAAGAGTAATATTTGGCTAGCAAAGGGTCTGTCATGGTTTCATGAATTAAGCAGTACAAATGAGATGTAATAAGGTTGCATTCCTCTGAACCTGGGTGTAGAGCCCATTGTATGGAGGTATGTGAACAGTACAGACTTAGGGATAACTAAAGCATCTGTTCAAAGGTGCTTGCAAATGCCACAGAAGCTTGAGAGCTGATTTGGGTGACTGCAACCCTGATTGCAGTCTGATATGAGCAAAGCCATATACCTCCTGATCCAATAAACTGTTTCTGCTGCCCAGAACCAAGCAGACTCACTTTCAGATAGGTAAAAAGGAAGGTAAAGGTAAGTGCTCTTGGCGGAGCTTCTTTTTAGAAACAAAGAAACAGAGCGAGTCAGGAGAGGTCTCCCGGGCCATCTAGTCTGACCTCCGACACCAGCCGGCTCCGCTCACAGCATGCCCACCATGTGCATATCCAGCCTATCCTCGAACACCCACACCGATGGGGCCTCAATGACCTCTCATGGAAGCCCATTCCACACCCTTGGGGTCCTAACTGTCAGGAAATGCTTCCTGGCATCTAAATGGAACCTTAGCTCCCTGAACTTTGCTCCGTTGGAGCGCGTCCTGCCTTCCTCTGCAGGGGAGAACAGGTCTCTACCCATCTCCATGTGACATCCCCTCACATACCTGTATGTCGCCTACATATCCCCTCTGAGTCTCCTCTTCTCCAGGCTGAAGAGACCCAGTTCCCTCAGTCTCGCCTCATACCCCATCCCCTGCAAACTGGCCACCAACCTTGTGGCCCTATGCTGTACTGACTCTAACCTGGCTATATCCTTTCTGTAATGAGGGGCCCAAAACTGAGCACAGTACTCCAGTTGTGGGCGCACCAGAGTCGTATAGAGTGGTAGTAATACCTCTCTCAATCTAGAAGCCACACTTCTGGCTATGCAACCAAGGGTGGCGTTCACCCTCTTGACCACCGCAGCACACTGCTGACTCATGTTTAGCCTGCAATCAACCAGTACCCCGAGGTCCCTTTCACAAGTGCTGCTCTCCAGCCACTTGCCACCTAACCTGTACTTATGACAGCTATTCCTATGCCCCGAGTGCAAGACCCTGCACTTATCTACATTGAACGCCATCCTGTTGTCTCCTGCCCACTTCCATAGTCTGTCCAGATCCTATTGGATTTGGAGTACCTGCTCCTCAGTTGTGGTCACTGCTCCAGTTTTAGTGTCGTCTTCAAATTTGATCAGCAGACTGTTCACACCTTCTTCCATGCCATTTATGAAAAGATTAAACAGGATCGGCCCAAGGACAGAGCCCTGGGGGACCCCGCTTGTCACTGACCGCCATCCTGATGATTCCCCACTAATGGTTACTTTCTGCTTTCGGTCAGTCAACCATGCCCTAATCCACCAGCCAGTGCTTTGGTGTATCCCAAAACTCCTCAGTTTCTCCACCAGGATATCATGGGGCACTTTGTCAAAGGACATATTTAATATTTCATTTCATTTAACCAAAGGCACAGAAGTGTAAGTCATCCAGAGAGTGTGATCACTGGGCAGTAATAAAAGAAATAAGCAATAATTAATTTTATTTCTTTCATTAAATTTAGCCCAGTTTTCTTCAACTGTGGAATTTAAGGCAGCTATATATGGTTGCCACATGGTCTCCCCTCCGAATACAGGCCAACCATTGACTACATCCAGATATTTTAGCTTCAGCAAGGTGGCTGCCTCATGTGTCTTCAGACCATACTCAGGGACCAGCAGTTCAAGTCCCAGCACATCCAGCAGGAAGGTGATGTGCATATGCCCCTATCACCTAGGAGAAGCCCAGGACAAGAGGTTTAGAGATGGCCACAGACTCTTTGAAGGCCTTGCAGCATGCATAAAACTCTGAAGGATTTGCATGCATTTGCATGAAGATATGGAAAGCCTGTCTTCCTTCCAAGCCAGACAGAGAGATGGCTCATGCCTCCCTGAGGCAAACATGCCACTGCTGCTTGAAATGAGCTTGTTTTGCAATTGTCCCCACAAAAGTTACTAGCCACCCTGCCCTTACTTACCTGTGCTGTTCATTTGTGGTGGAAGGGAGGATGAAGAATCATCTTGAGTAAAGCTTCCTTGCCACTTATTTGGGCAGATTTCTTACCCCAGGTGGCTCAGTGAGGGGCTATTTGCAAGCCTTTGACAGGCTGTTTTGTCTTTCTGTTCTGCAGCCAAGTAGCCCAGGGGACTATTACACTTCCTTAGATGAAGACCTGAAGATTGAGATGATAGAGAAACTCTTTGCCATGGATACAGATGCCAAGAACCAGTGCAACTCACAGGTAAGAGAAACAAAAAGGCAAATCTGACATCTTGAATTCATAGTCCAGAAGAACACACTTTCTCTTTCTCATATCTGGCTGCTCTTCTTGCCCACTAAGATGGTGAGAGAACACAGTGCAGGGGCCCATGAATCAGTATTTGGCACCTATAGTGGAAACATCTTGAAAAGAGAAAAAACCCTTTCAGTATGTACATACATATGTATGTATGTATGTATGTGCCACTGAATAGACAAAGGCTCTCTGGACAGTTAACAAAGTTAAACATTAAAAATGAATAAACAAAAGCAGAAAACACATATGAGACAATAAAACCATTCACAATCAAATTGGTACTCATGGTTTTTCATTTCTTTAATGTTATTACATGGGGTAGCAATGGGTCGGACACAACTTTGCTCAACAACAACGTTATTTCATTCCTTAGTGCAAAATCCTATTATTGCAATTATCATCCCTGCCAGAGCATGAGGAACAGTGGAGGCATTTATTCCAACCTCCCACCTGTATGTTTTGCTAGCCTGGCTTTTAGCTGGTCTAGTGACAGTGCCTCAGCTGGAAAAGGAAGAAGTTTGGAGGGGCCTCAAGGTACGTAGCTTGTAGCCTTACCTCTCCCGTCTCTTCCCCTTCCCACTCACTAAAACACTTTCTTTTCCTCCTCTCTGAAATCACGTTTCCAACTTTGGAGAGGCAACTGGTGCAGTTCTTCCTGTACCAGCTGCAAGGGGAAGTGGAGATGGATTGTGGATTCTTCCCTCCAGGCTTGAAATGCTGTCTTGAGCAAGTCCCAGTATCCTATGGCCCATCAGATGCTGTGTTGGTGCCATAAGATCACTTCCTTAAGAACAAGCTGAGGCCAAGCTATTTGAAATAGGCCAGGGGTGGGCAACTTGCAGCTATGAATGCATGGACTTTGTAAAATCCATTCTGTCTATGATTTGCGAATTGTTAGGCAACATTTTCCTTTGTTCACTGATAGAACTGGACTTTCTGAAACTGTGTTCATAAGCAGTTGTGCAAATTTAGAGAAGGGAAAATTTGCATATACAAAAAAATGCACAGACCCCCCCACCAAACCATGCAAATTGCCCCAAAAGTGTATTTGTGTGCTATTCTAGACAAAAATTGTCTATTTTTGGAGCTAAAGTTGTTTAAATTGTATAAAATATTTTAGTCTGCAACTTGGAAAAAGCTAGTTTGCTATGGAACGCTTAGGTCAGATTCATAGATATTTGAACACCTGGTGGTCCATTGTGGATATTTCCGACTTGCAGTCCTCTGGATGTTTTGGTCCTACACTTCCATCAGCCCTGGGCAGCATAGCCAGTGGTGAGTGTTGATGGAAGTTGTAAGTCAAAACATCCAAGAGCCTGATGCCTGGACTAGATCAAAAATAATAAGGCAGCTTTTTAGGGCCATTGCCTGTTTGTAAGCCCACTTGCTTCACCAGCCTTCCCCAACATGGCACCTTGCAAATGTGTGGGACTGTGGTCCCATCAGCCTGGGTGACAACTCCAGGGCCTGCTTGACTGGGTTTGACAGGAATTGTAGTCCAAAACATCTAGAGGCCACCAAAGGGGGAGGTTTTCTGTGAACAGCTGCAGCGCCTGTATTTAGAGTCCAGTCCTATACACACTTGCCAGGGATAAGACCTATTGAATTTTGTGGGACTTATTCTTGAGTGGAAATTCATAGGATTACACTATTAGATATTTCCTAGAACACGAGAAGAGAAGCACTCTCAAACTTGGGAGAATTTATTCTTTATGGTTCTAATTTTTATTGCGTTTTATGCACTGTTGTAAACTGCCCAGCAGCTTTGGCTATTGGACAATATAGATAGTAGTGCTATTTTATTTGAGAAGTGTTTCCCCATATCCATCACCACCTTCTTCGCTTTCGGTAGACGGACTTCAACGAGTTGGACCTTGAAACACTGGCTCCTTATATCCCCATGGATGGAGAAGACTTCCAGCTCAGCCCCATCTGTCAAGAAGAACGTCCTCTGGCGGAAAGTGCCCAACTGACCCAACAGAGCTTAAGCCACATGAGCAGCCTCTTCCAGCCTCTCGCTCCTCCCGCACAGAGCCAGTTCCTGCCAGAAAAATATTGTCAGCCGCTGCCTGACAAGAATGTGAACACGGGCCAGAGGACTCTGCCACCAGCGTTCCTGAACCGCGAGAGCCGGTCAGCCTCCCTGCTGCCTTACTACGCGCAAGCCAGCACCCCACTGTCTTCGATGGGTGGCAGACCAAACACACAGTGGCCACCTGACCCACCTTTACAGTATGTCCCTGCCAGATGGAGAACGGTCAACAATAAATGCCCTGGGTCATTAGCTAGCTCTGCACTGCATTTGCCTAAAGCGAACTTATATAAGAAAAGGTAAATCACACCCCACGGTGTGGATGCTTGGCTTGCTGCTTTGGACTGTATGTGCAGTAGAAGCACTGTTTCACTGCGGGGATATGCTTATTATACATTTGAGCAGTGTAGTTTTGTTTTGCTTTGTTCTGTTTATTTATTATAATTATTTTGCACCTTTTTAACTTTCAAGGAAGTTGGGGTGGCTTGCATAATTCTCTTCCTCTTCATCGCAATAAAGGGTGCAAGTTACATGGACAACCCTTCGGCCTTTTCTGACAGAATCACTAACATTGATTTGTTTCTCATGGTTCTTCAGCAGGTGCCTCGAAAGGGCGTCTTTTTTGGGTGATAGGAAATGCACATGTTTAGATGAGGCAAAGCCAGCACGGCTGAGGTTTTCATTTTCACTCTGTAGACAAGTGGCTGCATCAGAAAGGAAGAACAGTGACCACAGTATATTTTAAGGCTGCAGAAGTGGAAACATCACATAGGGAATTTATTGACCCATAAAAGTGGAAGCTTACCATTCGAACAGGTTTTGTCAAAGTGTCAGGAAGAGGTCAGGTTTGCATTTCTGTCTTCTTAGAGAGGTTCTCATAATTAAAAACCATGGGATTACAGTATGACTGTGGATCTATTTTTAACATGGCAAGCTGTCTGAAGTGTGTGTTGCGTGGACACACTTGCACTGTGTGTTTTCTAAGGTTCACCTGCACTTTGGTTGCAGCTTTTCTTTTCAACCAAAAGGGAGGGAGGAGAAGTTAGAATACATCAGCACAATGGGGCTGTCGTTTGATTTTCGGATGGGTGCAAGTATCAAGTGAACATGGAGGCATCTAGAGTAATTTGAGGCCACCAGAGGGCTTTTCATCAACTTGCCCACTCTATTTTAAAATTTCATTTATGGTAGGAGCCATTCCAAATAGTTGCAAGTCTCACTCCCACCTTGAATGTCCAGAACGGTACCCAAATGTCCATGGAAATGATGCTGTATGTTGGAACAATGTTAGTTTTGAGGAGTATCATACATGGACAAGGATGGCTACCCCATGGGCAGAAAAAATAGAAAAGGAATAGATTAAAAGGCCTCAGACCACCTCATATAAGCTTCCTAAGTACTAATATATGTATTTGAAATCAGCCCTTTCCAAATGCCTGCTCCTTGTGCCAAAGTCCAGGAATAGCCTCACTCCCACTTTCATTCCCATTGCTACTAATAATCGGCTCATGATCCAAATCGTCCTCCTCTGCTGCTGTAGTCTTGTTTGATGGGTTTGAACCATATGGGTGGGCCAGACACATGAATCCTTCCTGCCAGCCAGCAACAATCATGTACTATTAATGTGGAAAAGTTTCATATGATTCATCTCATCCAGAGAGTTTTTGCCTCTAAATTTTTGTCACTGTGGGGTGGAGTGATGCCGTTGAAAAAACAGCTCTTAGCCTTCCATGTCAAATTAATCCCAAAGAGAAACCAGGCTGCTTCTGCCAATATATATCAATAAGACAATGTCAGCAATGGCTGGCTGAGGAATCCTAGGAGTTGTAGGACTTTTTCTGGCTATGTATTGTGCTCTTAATATTTTTCATTGTCAATTCACAGTTTACAGTTCTGTTGTGCTTAAAGCATGCTTTATCCTCCTGCCTCCTGCTCAGAGATTTTATAGAACTAGGGAATATATTTCGGCTTTTAGGAATGATGTGGAATGTTAATTAAAGAAATTATCCATTATATGTCCTAACAGAGGTTCACTACAGCCAAAAAATTGTCTTCCAATAAGGATACTCCAGGAGTTTGGTCCAGACTGAGACATGTTTAGAGTAAAACCAGCTAAATCAATTAGGCAGATTCGCCATGATTAACTTCATTCACATCAGTGTTGATCCTATTTCTGCCCAAAGACCAAAATTCCATTTTGAAGAAATGCTTGGGGCCACTTTCTTGTGGCAGAGACCTGAAAACAGAAAGGGCAAGACCAAAGGCAAAAGTGTTAAGGCCCAGTTATTACCAAATCTATTTTGGCTCTTAATGACCGTAACTGATCCTTAACAGAGAGTTTTCGACTGTTTAGCATGGAGGTAAAAGCCAGGAAACCATCCAAGAATTGCTAGTCAGAGAAAGGAAGTGGGGCAGGAAGAAGGGTATGTCGCAATTTCGTGAATCACACAAGGTCAGACTGGGGCTCCACACATGCCAAATTTAGGCCCCAGGTCTGAGCTTTTCCACCTGTGGTTTACTGTGAGTAAGGCCAAATCCAGATCTAGCTCTAGATATTTTGACTCACAATACAGTGAATTCTAGGAGCCACAGATCTCTGCAGGTCAGCATGCCTCAATACTCAGGTTCAAATTTATTGTGGTGAGATGAAGGCTCCTTCTGTAACAGTGGTTTGTTTTGCTGTGTTGTGAACAAAACGAGCACTTCACTTAAATCATCAAGAATGGCTTTGTTTTGATAGGTCCCTGGAGAGCTTTGGACAGCGGGGCATAGACGTCAACCCTGCACGGCTTGCTCTTGCCAACAGTTTGAAGCTGAAGCGGCAGCTTGACTATGAAGAGCAGGCGTTTCAACACCTGAATGGGGTATTTATCCTTAGCAATGTCTACTGTTTATATTTTCAGATTTTCATTTCACTACCATGTCATCTTAATTGCCCAAGTTCTTTGGGCAGTTCACAACATGGTAAAGCATAAATCTTTAAACATACAAACATTGAAATGAGATTGAAACAGTCAAGGGAACATCATGGAGAAAATCCCTTCTTCTGTTGTTTTAAGACTGCCTTGTTTTTCTAAAACAGAAGAGATAGAACCATGTTCATCCAGATCCCACCTAACATGAATGTCAACAGACTTCTCCACTTCAGGTTGGGACTCTGCACAGGCAGACACTGTGATCTGACTATCCTGTAATGAGGTTCTTTCTCCTGTTCCTGGCCTGCAAAACATCCCCCCTGCTCCCTGCCATCATTTTGTAGCATCTTGACTGACGAGAGATCTGGAGATCCTGAAAGCTTGCCCTTTCCTTGTGATCTTTTGGTTGGCCCAGTAAAGGTATAACACTAATATAGATGCTGGAATGCATTTGTGTATGTTGCTTATCCCTTCTCTTTTCCTTCTCATCTGTAGATGCAAGGAGACACATCTGGCATTAATCCAACACACTTAATGTGGAAAAGAATGAAAATTCTCCGAGGTGAAAATTGTGCGTTGCTTACAGAGAAGTCACTCAGCACAAGTGCCCTTAATGGTAAGACTACCTTTCTTTTGTTAGATATCATATTTATGTATTACCAAATGGGAATACTGTCATTGTTGTGTGTTTTCTGATAGACATACAAAAACATTCATGCTCATACAGTGCTGTATTATTTCCTTTTCAGAAATATTTTATGCTTACTGTCCATACAAACCCCAAGCAAATGAAATGAAAATGAAAAAAATGAATTTTTTTTTACAAATGAAAAAGCCCTGCTGGATCAGACCAGTGGTCAGTTTAATCCAGCTTCCTTTGTTCCACAGGGGCTGACCAGCTGCTCCTAGGAAATCCAAGCAGGACATGCCTGCAGTAGCCCTTTTGCCTAGCAGCTCTTGCAGTGTCTGCACCCAGTGGGGTTATCTGACAATGCTCGTAAATGAACAGACAAAAAACTTCTTCACTTTCTGGACTCACAATCTTCAAAGATCATTTAGGGAAATTAAAAGTGGGGAGACTCAGGACAGACAAAAGAAAGTATTTCATATAGTGCCTAGTTAACTCACGGGATTCAGGACTGGGGAAAGACCACTAACTTAGCTTTAAAAAGGGAATAAGCAAATTGACAGAGTACAAGGCCATTGATGTCCACTCAGCACAGTAAGGCCATTGGAAACATGCCTCCAAACATCTGTCCCTAGTCAGATGTTGAGATGTAAAAATGTGAAAGACAGAGCCAATTTACATAGCCTTGTTCATCACTCATGGACTGCCACATGGGCATCAAGAGCGAATGGGGCGGCATAAAAATGTTTTAATAAATAATAAATAAAAAAAAGAGCGGTAATGTCCTGTTGCCTTCCTGTCCAGCTTGTGGGCTTCCTGTGGGCAACTGGTGGACCACTCCATAAACAGAGGCCTTCCGTATCATCCAGCAGGGCTCTTCTTATATTCAGCAGCTGAGGTTAATTCACATCAGTGTGTCCATCATGCAGTGATTTAGAGTATTGAGTGGTGACTTGCATGCGTGAGCAAGCCGTCATCACAGCTGCTTGAATGGAACTGTCACAGAACCTCACACTGCTTTCCATGTTCTAAGTTCCCATGTTCAGGAACTGGCTACTGATTGCACAGTAATTGAGGGAATGTACATGCATCTGCCCATGCTGGATGACTTTTGGCAGTTCATGAACTGTCCCCATTCAAGAGTATTATACAGTGGTACCTTGGCTCACGAACTTAATCTGTTCCAGGACTCTGGTCATGACCCAAATTGGTTGTGTGCCAAGTTAAATTTCCCCATAAGGTTCAATGTAAATAAGGTTTATTTTATTTATTATTTATTTATGGATTTATATCCGTTAATCTGTTCTGTAACCATTTTTTAAATCAGAAAAATGTGAAGCAAAGTGAAAACAACAAAGATCGCAGCCACCACCACCCCATCCCAAGCACAAGCATGGCCATCTCCCCGGCCCCCCCAGCATGACCGAGATTGCGCCTATCATCCCTGCAAGCACCCATCATCCCGGTGCACTGGGGGGTGGGGGGGGAGAGACGGGCATGATCATGGGCTCACTGGGGGAAGAAGAGTGGGTTGGGGAGATGGCCATGATCGTGCTGGTAGTGGGGGGAGATGGCCAAGATTGCACCCGTCTTTCCTTCAGGAGTGCGCCTCTGATCACGCACACCTTCCCTGCACGAACACAACTGCGATTGTGGCCATCTCCCCACTCGGTGGCGGGGGGGAGATGACTGCGATCTTGGTCGCCGCCCAAAGTGGTGTTCGCGACCAAGTCAAAATTTTTCAGAAATTTTTGTTCGTGACCCAATTTGTTGGTGAACCAAGGCATTCATGAGCTGAGGTACCACTGTATTTAATTTCATGATATGTATGGAAACTCTGTCTATAGTGCTTTTAATAGCTTAATAGCATACCTACAAGTTGACATTAGGAACGGGGAATGTGTAAATTAACACAAACTTTTAAATTATTTTGCCTCTTAATGTCTGGCTGTAAACTGACTGCATAGCCTCTGCTTGAAATCACTTGTGATCAAGGCTGCTCCAGTGCAAAGAGCTATTCATCCTTCCTAATGCAGAAAATCATGCCCAAAAAGCCCAGGAGAAAAAGACTTTGCAAGCAAAATGTGTTTTCAGGGATTTCTATTAGATCATGCCAGTGTCTGTCTAGCATGCTGCTTCTGACTCTGGACAGCCAAGTATTAAAGCTTGCTTTTGCCTTTTATTTCCAGATGAGTTTCTTTGTAACCCACAAAGGGGCTCAGGTCAACCAGTGAACACAGCGCTGCAGCAGCATCCGCTGCTCTCCTCTGGGAATTCTGCCAGTAACCCGAGAGCTGTGTTCTCCCCCCACTTTTGCAGTCCCCCATATCAGGATGTCGGTGTGCCACAAGCTCATCGGATGTCAGGTGAGCACCATTTCAGTCCACCTTGGGAGGCTTTCCATCAGCAAAGGTGGGGAGAATGGGCTGTTTTAAATCCTTCCCTATGATCGCCGGGGCAGTAGCTCAGCACACACTCTGGCCATGCTGCATACAAAGCATTTGGGAATTATCTAACCTACATTGCTATGCGCACTTTATTCCTGTAAACTGGCCCTATGGGGCATGTCCCTCGGGTGGGTGTCCTTTTTCAGAACAAGGGTCTCATTCCTTTGGGGGTAAACATGAGTATGAGTGCCATTGGGTGGGTGGAGACAAAGCTCCACACATTCCCCATTCACACAAATCCATCTTCACATGCACAGAGGTTCTTGTAGCAATTTGAGCAATTTCCCTGAAAGGTCAGTAGTATTATATCCCTGCTGCAAAAGGGGGCTAAGAGAGAAAGGGCAGAGCCTGATTTGATCCAGGTTCCAGGTTCACAACTGAGCTTCCTGTGTTACACTAGTTCTCAGCACAGTCTCTTGGTTCCACAAACTACCACCTTCCCCAGCCAGGGACCCTCTGGATTGTTGCACTGTAACTCCCATCATTCTCAACCAGCATGGAGTTTGGAAATGATAGAATTTGTAGAGCAGCACATCCAAACAGCACTGAGTTTGGCAAGGCTGATAGAACACATTTGTGCAAGACTCCCCAGCCCTGCTTACCCCTTCGTCCCAACCTAATTCAAGAAGATTTGAATTCTTAAAGAATGCTGCAACATTTTGATAATGCTTCCCTGCGTTCCTCTGAACACATTCACCTGGAAGACAGGTGTCCACTTGTTGTCAGGCTGGGGAGAGGGAAGAAAGTGGAGGAGGCTTTGGAGGGAGAGCCCATTATTCAATAAGCTGGAGAGCAGTGCTACTTAACAGTATCATGTAGAATGGATGGCCTGGGATAGAGAGCGTTTAAGCGACTGTTTACTCCTGCATTATCCTGCTGGCCCATCAAGGTCCTTGGATGAGGCACTGGAAGGGAAATCAGTGGGGATGCGGGGCAGAGCCTTTTCAGGGCTGGCTAGTTACAGTGCCCAACACACTGCTGCCCATTGCATATTTGCACTTGCTTAATTAAGCCTGAGGGACCACTGTGGCTTTAATCCTCTATTCCCATCCTAGCCTGGGTCAGACAGCCTTGCAGCCCTTGGTACCAGTGGAAGCGTCCCTTCCAATGCAAACAACAGCTGCAGGGGGTGGGGAAGCTCTGGATGGGACCGCAGCATGACAGAGGGAGAAAGAATGAACAAACAAGCAAACAATGAAAGCCCTCCACTATCTCAGGTCAATCCTTCATTGAGCAAAGAAAAAAACATGCACTGATCCTAACCTAAGCCAAAGCCCAATTCAGGTACCAAAACAGATATTGCTTTAAAGTTAAATGTCTGGCAGCTACATCCCCCCGCCCACCCGTTTTAACTCTAGAGTAGATCTCATGCCCCCAGGTTTGTTTGGCACTGGGGATGGCCATGCTTTTTAGGTCTGGGTCAGAGCTAACCATGCACCCTCTCTAGAAGAAAAATGAAAAGAAGGCATCTGTGTTGGACACACACTTAAAGTAATGTCTGTTTGGGCCTCCAGTTTGGCCCTCAACTGTAGTGCCCACACTGTGGAACTCCCTCCCTAGAGAAGACACTTCTCTGGTCTGTTCCTTATTTTATGCATTTACTTTATTTCTGTAGCACCCAATAGGCGGTTCACAACCGTTAATCAAAATGCAAGAAGATATAATGAAAGTACAAATACAGTATAAATTTCCAATATACAAATTAAAACAGATTAAAAATTCCAATATAAACAGTTTAATATCTAAAACATTGCCAACAAAACCTAGACCCAATTAAATCGGATGACATAGTACATCTTATGCCATTCAATGCCTGGGAATAGAGGGCAGTTTTGACTTGATGTCAAAGAGATGAGAATGTTGGTGCCAGACAAGCCTCAGCAGGGAGACCATTCCACAATTGAGGAGCCACCACTGAAAAGGCCCTGCTTCTCATTGTCTCTTTTTGGGCCTCCCTTGGAGGCGGTACTCAGTGGAATGCCCTAAATGTGGATCATATCATCTGGTTAGATTGAGGTCAGGAGTGGCATTTCATCAGGTATTTGTGGTTTCTTACTGGCCTTCTTTTAAATGACATTGAAAATGGGTAGTTTTCAGGGGGGAAACACATATCAACCTGTCTTCCATATAAGTTTGTATGCACGCAGACTTCACTAATGATTTTGATGAGGCTGGATCGTTCTGTTCCTGTTTTTTTCCTGCTTATTTTATTTCTTTATTGTCAGCTGTTTGCATTTTTCCCATGTGATCACTGATAAACAAACAAAGGGGACATACATTTAGATGCTCATGTTGATAAGCAAGGGTCCCTGATCAGCTTCCGAACCTTCCCATTTCAGGCATGACGAGTCGTCTGCTCGGATCCACCTTGGAACCCTATTTGTTGCCGGAACTGACCCGATATGACTGTGAGGTCAACGTCCCAGTGCTGGGCAGCTCAACCCTTCTGCAGGGAAGCGATTTGCTTCGAGCTCTTGACCAAGCCACTTGAGCAGAGCCTGCAGTGTCCCCTCACCTCTCCTGTTCAAACCAGCCGCAGTTTTTAAGCCTATTTTTGCAAGTAGACAATTTCTAATACTGATTACACTTTTGCAAAATTTTACTTATCTATTGAACTTGTCCACATTACCAAATAGTGGCCTTTCTGTGAAGTTACTCACTTTCTTATTCATATTAAAAGAAATATGCATCTACTGTATTTTTCCTTTCTATTTTGATGAAGTGTTCCTTAGAAATTTCATATTATATGTTTCCCCTCCACTATGTGTAATTTATATGTTCTGAACCTTCCTCAATATTCATGCTAATAATAATAAAAAGCTGTGGTCTGCTAATGGCTCTATGTAATGCTTTGGCTCCATTTATTGCTAAGATTTGTCCCTTTTGCCAAAGATAAGAGAACTTCATACATCTTTTTCCTAACCACAGTCAGCACTGCCATGTTCAGATACAATATAGTTACTGCCTATCCTCTGTTTCTCTGCATGCCCTAGTATGAAATCCTTTGCAGGTTTTAATCTCTTAAAACATTCTGAATTCCACACCTCAACACACGCAGTGCAGCATGCCATGAGTTCACTGCAGTCCCTGGGCAGGTTGCAGATGACCGCTTTTTGGTTTACAATTGAGTCATGAATTAAGACTTGATCCTCTCTGAGGAGGGCCGTCTGACTCTACAAGTAATCCAAACAGTAGCTTAGGATCACGATATTCTTTTTTTAGAATGGACCGTGTGATCTGCGGGAGATCTGAGCATACCGCTCTAACATCTTCTGTGACATTGCAAATGTCTTTGTATGCACTTCTGCAATCAGGCAGCGATACTGCCAGACTTAACAAATGCCACAACAAATACCCTATTTGAGACTTGGTGGGATTTTTTTCTTCCATATGGAAAAGCCAAAGCTATTGGGTAAATAACTCAATGTTTTAGCAATATCAAGGTGCCTTCCCCAACAGACTTTACCCAATGCTTAAGATAAGCTCGATGTTCCCCTGGTTAAACAGGTGGGATAGTTGCTGCCATCCTAGAGGTAGAACAAGGCTCTGCAAAAGATTCCAAGATGAAGGAATTCCAGGGTCACTTATGTCAGTGTCACCCTCCTTACAACCTTTCTAGGTTAGGCAGGAAGTTGAGAGTGTATCAGAATGAATTACTGCACAATTAGAACTAAACAGAGGGAATTCAGCATATCTGTGTTTTAATTCTCCACTGTTGTTTGTTGTTGATGTTGTTGTTACACAAAGCATAATTGATTCTTTGATACTTTCCTTTGGATTAAATGTTTATCATATATTGGTACTTTGTTATACCTGTTAAGACATAGATGCAGAACCATGAACCTTTGTTAGAAAATGTTTTACTGCAATCTTTTAGCTTTCTTATGTTGTTGCTGATATTGCAAGACTTGTCCAAAGGCTGTCGCTAACGCTGCTAATTGCCCATTTTCATTGGATTTTTCCCCAACTAACTAGCCACATCCTCTGTACTACTGAATTTTGCTGAGAAATAAATGTAGTTGCTTGCCTACTTTTTAATTTTTAAAACCAATATTATAGATCTCTGGAGCAGTTGAGTGGGAAGGCGTTGGTCTTTTGATTTCCTTTTAATTGTTGATAGCCTTTCAAGTGCAAAAAATATTTCAAAGGGCAATCTGTACTTGCATAAACACTATTTAAAAAAACAAACAAAACATGTTGGTGCTCAGGAATTTATTTAAATAGAAGGAGTCAATGTCATTCCGTGCAAATCCTGCTTGCCTTTGCTGGGCAAATGGGCACACTTGTATATTCAATCCAGCAATAATATAAACTCAAGGAAGGGGTGCAGATTTTAAAATATTTGTTGAAGCAGTGTGATGGAGAAGGACAGGCGGGCCAAGGGGCAGGTCTGGGGCAACAGAGTCAGTGGCGATGCCAAACTTGATGCTAAAATTGTATCTACCTAGACGATTACCTGAATGCAAATCAGCATAGATTTATAAAAAGTCATGGACTCTCTTAAAAACTGCTGCCACTCCCATTTTATACTTAAGCTATCCCAGCCCCTATGCCCATCATCCCCTCCAGCATGGCCACTGGAAGCTGTAGTCCAAACCATCTGGAAAGCGCCAAGGTGAGAAAGGCTGCTCGCAGCTCACCTGTCCCACCAGTCCTATGTGCTTGCATGGGACTTGAGCACAGACTTTTTCTATAGTTTCCTGGGGGCAGCTTCAGACCTACAAACATTTATGTTGCCCGATCCATATCATATATAAAGGAGCGCAAGGATTTTGGTTCATTGCAGCAAGTAAAACAGCATGCTTGGTTCTGTACTAAGGATCTTGATTTTTCTAAAGCCATGCTAGATTGCTCAGTAAGTTGCTTAACTAAAGTTGCAGGAGCATAGGCATTGCTTGTGCACCATCAGGTTCCCTGTCTGCTTCATGGAGCAGTGTACCTCTGCACATGCATCCCTTTGCAAATGTGGATGGCGTGCTGGAGCAAACAGGAGGATACTGAGAGTTCCGGAATGGACCTCTGGATGATGAACTGGATGCTGATTCCAAGTGCCGGTTCGGACACAATGCCCAGGATCCAGTCAAAATGAAACACTTGAAATTCGAGCTGATTTCAGTGGGAGAGGGTACCGGTGGTGCTTCACCCACTCGCACAGAACATTAATGGGGATGTAAAGTGCTTAACTTTCAGTGTGCTCTGCTTGATGACTGGAAAGCATGAGGTGTCCTCCAGGACAGGTTTGCATAGCTCATGGGAATTAATTAATCTGTGAGGAGGCACTGCATGTATCAGACACGTGTGAGTGACAATTGGAATATGCACCCCTGGAGGTGGGAATGCCTCCTCATGTTACCCAGCCACCAAGTGTTATGCGAGGGTTATGTAACCCTCACATAACCCTACAACAAGCCATGGGCCCAGCAATGAGCCCTGCATGTAAACCAGGTAAATACCATGCAAATCATCACTTAGAGGAAAATAGGCTGTTTAAAGACCTTTCCCACTCTTCTTTGGATTTTGGCTTAATATTTGTTCATGATGGAGGAAAAAAGGAAAGAAAAATCAGAATGGATTTGAAGCCTGCATTTTGGCATCCATTTCAGACATAACGCAACCTGTTCAGATGATGAATTTCCCCAATGTATAAAACTTCGCACACAGCAAATGCTTCCAGCTCCTGCATTTTGTCATCTCCCAGCCATCCACAGGCACTGCTACCCAGTGGGTGGTCCTTCCTAAAGAAGGGACCTTGTACAAGTCCTCCTCTCAAGTGGTTTTCCTGGGTTCCTTCCCTGTGATGGGCGCCAGGATTTGAGATTGCAGCAGCAACAGGCAAACCCTCCCAAGAAGCCCTGATCCGGTAGGGATAAGTCTTTAAAGCTGCACTCTGTTGCAGTGGAATGAAATGGCAGGGCACCTGGCCAGGGGTTTGTCCTCACTGAGGCTGCAATCCTATACCCACAGACCTGGGACTGTGCCTTCGGAAGCCCTTTGGGCTTGCTTTTGAGGAGACACAGATAGGGTTGGGTGCTTAGGAGTCTGCCTCCGCGTGCATCGTCCAGGAGAATTATGAAGGCAACTCTCTTGATTTGGAAGCATTACACTGATTGAGCACTTCTAAGCATGCAAATTTTTAAGCTCTCTATAACACATTTTAAAGTGCAGGGTGGGGTGGTGGGAGGGATAAAAGGTTTTCTATAAGAAATATTTTTTAAGCAAAACATTAAAGTCTTTGATGTGTTAACACAGGGGTGGGGAAAGTCTGACCTCTGTATGTTGTTGGACTACAATGCCCATCTTCCTTCAGCACCAAACTCCCATCATCCCATCACTACCCCCATCTTCCTGCATCTGCAGCTAGTCCTGCTAGCTGGGTCTGATGGAAACTGTAGTCCAACAACACTCATATTCCCCATCACTGCATTAACTAAAGAAGTTGTTACAGCCAGGTGTGGGAGATAAGGCTACAGTCTAGCCAGTGTTAAGCACATGTGAATGTAGCAATCACCTTTTTCCAAATGTGTGTTGGGACAGAGGAGCATCCCTCAGAGAAGGCACAGCTGGGTGCAGCTTTCTGCCGAGTTTACAGGCAATGGCAAATCCTTTTGCTTTTGTATAGCGCATGCACTGGGCCTCCGGTGTGCTTAACTGTGGCCAGGCCATGACTAGAGCTCGTATGATAAAAGTTAAAGCTGTGCTCTAGAAAGAAGCATAGACGTAGAGCTGCGATCCTTTCGGCACTGACTTGGGAGTAAGTGCCACTGCATTCAGTGGGACCTATTTCAGAGTAGCCAGGCAGAGGCTGCACTGCAACCAGGGCAGTGTTAGGCTGTCCACCTCAAGGGACGACTCTTGGAGGAAGCGGTCTGAAGCCTGTAGCTGCAGCAGAGCAAATCTAATTGTGGTCATGATGTGTGTGCTTGAAGGGTTAATGACACTTAAATATCGCTTTCTAATTTTTATTCTTTATTCATTCAGCATTAAGATGTTTTACCCTAACCATTTACTAAAACACACTGGGGAGGGAGGGGGTAAAAAATCCATGCTTAAAATATTAACCATAATTCTTGTCATAATTATTTTATGTTCTCTATATTGTTGAATTCCGTATTGATAATCGTGTAACTGTATGGGAACTTTTAACGTGATAAAGGAAATGTATTTTGACACTGATACCTTATTAAAGTATACTGATCCTTAAATGTCTTATGACTCTTGTTTCTGGCAAAAGCAAAAATTGTCACTGAAATGTATCATTGTAAAACCAACGTATTTATTAAATTATTTATAGAAAATAAATATTTGCATTGATCTTTAAATGCACAAAACGAGAAATGGCCCATATTTGAAAGCTAGTTGAAAAAAGACTACACAGAGTGGGAGGATGAAAAGAAATATTGATTTATGCAATGAACTGGATGATGATAATACATTATTGTAAGTAATAATTATGTACATGATGAAGTACAATAGTTAAAGACAATTATGTGTTAATATTGTAACTCTGAAAGAACATGTTTAAACTTTTCAAAGCATGTCATGTCTCCAAAGTCCTAACATTTTCCTCCAACTTTCAACCCTCCAGATGTTTTAGATTCCAGATCCAATGGATCCCAACCAGCTTGGGATCAGGAATTTAGTGAATGTAGTTCAAAACATCTGGAGGACACGGGTTGCAGAAGGCTGCCTTACCACAATCCTGTGAAGTAGGACGATACTGTTTTTTGTCCTTCCTCCATGCAAGTCAAGATAGCATAGATAGCATTGTCAAAAGTTATTGTCACAATAATGCTTCAAAGTTGGTTGATCTATGAGTTGTTACTTTCTGCTGGTGAAGTTCCACATAGATCTGCTAATAAGCTTCATTGCTCAGCCCTGGTTTGACTTTGGATCATCTTGGTCCATGACTGGCAAAGGACACTGACTGAAATTACCTCCATATTGTAGATTTGCAGGCTGAGGCTAAGAGGGAAGAGTGACATGATATGTTCAGGATTGAGGTGAGAGCTGCACTAAGGCTTACCCAAAAGCACTCCGTCCTGTTGTGGGTTCTACATTTCAAGAAGGATCAACTGGAGGAAAAGGCTGGCATTGGCTACTAGGACCTGGCCGCTAGATGCTGCCTCCAGCACCAGGGGCCGTATGCCCAGGTATACCAATTGCTGGGAGCATGGCTGGGATGGCACTGTTGCACTCATGTGCTGCTAATGAATTTCCTGTGGGCAGCTGGTTGACCACGGTGAGCAGGATGCTGGAGCAGATGAACCCTTGGTCTCGCCCAGCATGGCTCTGCCTATGTTCTTACGAAGGGCATTTAAAACCTGGAGCATTTAAAACCTGAGAGGGTGACCAGGATGGTGAAAGATCTGGAAACCAAGTCCTGTGAAGCGTTTTTGAAAGAGCTAGGTAGCTTTAGACTGGAAAAGAGATGACTAAGCAGAGGCATGACAGTGGTTTCCAAAGTGATGTTGGAATAGAAATTGGAAGAGAGTTGCTTTCTCTTGCTCCAGGACTGAAACTAATGCATGCCAACTGCATGGAGGCCAGCCCTGGCTAAATGCTAGGAGAACATTCTAACAGCGCTTTTTCAAGAGTGGAATGATCTATCTGGGGAGCTGGTGGATTGTCCTTCTCTGGAGGTATTTCAACAGACATTAGACAGCCACATGGCAGGGATGCTGTAGCTGCATCTCTTTGCACTGTGCAGCGCATTGGACAGTACCATGATCTGGGGAATAATCAAGTCAAGATTATATAAATAGGCATATAAATGCATGAATGCAATCATCATAATTCCACAATCCCAGAGATGAACTCAGTCCTATCTTTTATTTGACCATACAATGTCTACCATTTCCCATCATTACTGTGGCTGCTACCAGATTCAAGGTATCCTGTGTTAGTCTGGTGTAGAGTAGGCTCATTGAAATGAAAGAGTCATAAGTTAGTTAAGGCCCTTTGGCTTAGGACTAGCTTAATTCTCATCCATTTCAATAAGTATGGTCTAAGTAGGACTAACAGAATCTACCCTTGGAGCCCAATCCTATGCAAGTTTAGAAAAAAGGCCTACAACTCCCTACATACCCTAACAACTGGGCTAGAGCATGCTAGGAGCTGTAAGCCCTTCTGGTTGTCTTAACTTGCACAAAACTAAGCCTTCTGTATTCGATTTCTTTTTCAACCTATCTGTCCACCTTTCAGATCTGTACCTGCCTTCCCTCAGGCAGCTGAACCTGGCATTCATGGGCATGCTACAGCATGCTTCCAGTATTTTGAAGTTACGAAGTTTTTCATAATGATTTTCATTAGCAAACTGTCAGTCCTTAAGTGTTACCTGCTTTTCACCTTTTGTTTTGTTTAACATTCCGTCATAATGATCTACCTTGCTGCAAGATTTAGTGCCCTTTGGTTGGCACTTATTTAGGCTGTGAATCATGGCCTATAATTCTTGCACAGGTTTTCAAAAGGCAAGCCAAAGACTGCACGGAATTACTGAAATGAGGAAAGATGGAGCTTATTGTTGGCTGCCTTGAGCATAATTATCTTTTGGAAAGCTGGGATAGAAATTAATTAATTGATTAATTTGATACCCCAAATGGAAATGCCGTGATCCTGCTATGGTGAAAAAGACCTAGGCTACCACTCATCTAACGGTTGATGAGCAATGCCGAGGACCCTGCTTCCCCCTTGTTATGATCCTTAATCTTGAAACCAGGCTCTGCCCAGGCAGCTCTCCAAACAGAGGACTGTACTCTGCACAGTTGGGCACCTGGCCACTTTAACTGGCTGGTTTCCTGTGTTATTGGTTCCGAAATGGAGCATGGCCAAATGTTCTCCCACCTCTTGTCACTTTCCTGGCTCCAGTGTGAAAGGGATACAATAGCAAGAAGGAACCAGACACCAACATGTTCTTTTTAGTCTTCCAAATAATATACATTTCTTTACGGGGCTCTCTGAATTCTGTCCTTCCTTGAGAAAAAATGGGGGAACTGTCACCCAGCCCTGTTTAGATTATGTTAAATTACTCCTTTTAGAGTAACCTCTCCCACAGGAAACATATTTTTAAAACATACACAAAACAATGCAGGGCCAGAAGAAAAAAGCCACCAGTCATTCCATTTCTACACCAATCAGCACTTTCCTCTTTTGGTAGGGCCAGGACTTGGCACTAAGGCCTTGCAAGCAAAAGATCTCAGGATCAGTCGCCAGTGTCTCTGGGAAGACCATGATTCTGGTGAGCCACTGCCGCCCAGCCAACCTGGCGCCATGCTGGCTGGAGCTTGTGGCCTAGCACATCTAGACAAGGATGGCACCAAGGCTAGGTGCGGTTTGGCATCCGCCAAGGGCCCACACCCCAGCAGCATCCTACCAACACAAGTCCCCGGTACTTGCTCCTTCTTCTCCTCCTGGCAACCTGCCTGCTCGACTGTCTCTCTCCTGGGACCTGTAATGCCACCACTCTGCCTGTGGAGCAAGCATCTGATGTCAGATTTCGGAAAGAAGAGGAGGAGCAGGAGCAAGGGTGAAGCCTGAAGATGTCTCGCCAAGGACCCTCAGAAAGCTAGACCAGCGCTGCTTCCAGAGGGGGCCAGGTCAGGGAAGCAGAGGATGCAGAGGCCAAAGCTCAGCTAGCTCGGACAAGTGATACACAAACAACAAGATTCATAAACAAACAAGTGACAAACTATAAGGCAACTTCTGACATCCTCTGCAGCTCTGACTAGCCAGGAAGATAAGGTAGCACATTTATGCCGTTTCCATAAGCTTTCCGCTGGACTCGGTTCTCAGAAGATCACAGAAAGATGCTGCAGTCACAAAGAGCCAACCTGGGCAGCCCTTCAACAGCTTTTCTGAGCATGCACGATCCAACGTGCTCTGGGTCAGATGCATGGAAGCCTCTGACCATGAAGGCTTCTGTGCATCGGTGCATGAAACAAGGTGCAGCGGTGACTGTCTCTGCCCTCACTGTGCCTTGCATTTACTCAAGAAGGTCGCTCTTGACTGTCTAGATTTCATGCTAGGGAAGGTACCAATAGGATCAGCATCAGCGTCCCCAGCACACCCCTTTTGCCCTCCCGAAGACCCTGCTGGCCTGCAGAGAGGCATCTGGTGCAGTTCCTCCCAAGCTGGCTGGGGGGAGGAGGGGGCAGGGCAGAGGCTTGGAAAGTCTTGGCCCATATAAAAATTAGTACATTAACAATTATTATTCATGGTGCACAATGAGAGGGAGAAAGAGGAGCTCAGGAGCATTCAATGCAATCTGGAAAGCTTCTTTAATGGGGACCTGCTGGATGAAGCTTATTTATCAAATAACATGCACAAAAATTTGCCTCCCCCCAAATATCTGCCAAAGGATCACCTGAACATACTCCATGCTGGAGTCAAGGGAAGCCTTATCCATGAAACAGGTGGGCACAGGGTCGAGAGGGTAGGTGGGGAATTATTTCTCTCCCTCTCCTGTCACCCTAAAACTCCCATTGGCAACTCATGAAACTGAAATTTAAAGCAGATTAAACTACGGAATCCCCAACCAAGAGGTGGTGAAGGCCACCAACATGGAGGGCTTTGAAAGGGGGTGGGACAAATTCATGGAGGCGAAGCTACCCGTGGCTGCTCGTCCTGATGGCTTTAGGCTGCTTCCAGTGTCAGAGTGAGGATGCCTCTGCGCACCAGTTGCTGGGGAACATGGGCAGGAGGGTGTCTCCCAGAGTCGTCTGCCTGGCCACTCTAGGAAAGAGGATGTCTAGCTGAATCAAATACACACTCGCCCCCACTCCCCACCCACGTCCTCCAATGCTAGCTAGAAATACAGAATCATGCAACGGCCTGGGCAGGGTGGGATCCCTGAAGTGGGCCTCCATGGTCTGGACGTGTGCATGCCCTCCCCAACATGCCCACAAATTATGCATGGACCTGGGGGGATAGTTTTGGGAGGCAGGGGGCCGCTGTAGCGAGTGACGGATGCAAAGCTCTTGCCTCCCTCTGCCCGGCAGCTGTTCCGGCCTCACTTCATGTGCCTTGCCAAGCTGGGCCAGGGAGCCCAGGGATGCCTTTTGGTCAGCTGCCGCTGCATCAGCGAATAATCCCGGAGCAAAGGGATGTGTCCCTGGGTGGGAGGGCCGCTTTTTCGTCACTGGCATGCTGGTTTCGAGAGCATGCCCAGTTATGGGCAAGACCATTTCTGGTCTAACTCTTCTAATCC